AAAACAGTCGCACAAAAACTTTTCCCAAACAAGTTTACAAAAGATACAAAATTTTCTTATTCAAAGCTTAGTTCTGCTCAATTAAAAAGACTTAACGATGAACTATCAGCAAGGTCTAAGTGGAAGGTTGATCAAAAATGTTTATGTATACGTAGTTCAGAATGTGAAATATATACTGACCAAATTGAGCGAGTATGCGTGAAATATATTTTACTTACAAAGGATCAAGTCTTTAAAGTAAATTTTGATTAATAGAATCTTTGATTTATATCTATATTGATTGATTATATTTATATTTATTTATTGATTTATTATATATATCCACTAGAATGCACTTTATAAACCCATGCCAAAATCAGAAAATCGACACTTTATACCAAAATTATATTTTAGAAACAATCCAATTTTAAAATTTCTTGGAAATTTACATATAAAAGAACTCTGGACTTCAGTTTCTAATACCAATGAAAATAACCTAGTACCATTTTGGTTAAATTAGCTAATAAAGGTTTAAACAGAGCATTTGAATCAAAATCTACATTTAAAGGGCTATGTGAAATAATGATGCAAATAGCTCAACGTGAAGATCATAGCAAAGGTATTCAAAATTTGAAGTATTCTGAAGATGTTACCCATTTTATGGCTGTACTTTCTAGCCTAAGCCCAAAAGCATATGATTTTTTTCAATCCAATTTGGCAGGACAAACATTACGAAACATTAGGTATTAAATTGTTATCTTATTTATGATATTGAAATTTTTAAGATGCATTAAGCGATTAAAAAAATTTAAAACATTTTTTATGTAGACTTTTGCGTCAAAAATCTGGAGAGTATATATCCAACACAAGTATATGTTTAGAAAATATGGCACGTTTTAAAAGATTAGCCGATTTTATGAACTATAATGGACCAGTTATTGCAATGACTGATAATACAAAGGTTTATCCTCGTCTTGGCTATTCGGCAAATCTTGAATGTATTATTGGTTCTGTTTTTTCACTTGATCAAACTTTGGTTAATGATTATAATGAAGCAGAATCAGTTATTCAAAGAATAATTTCGAACAATGCAATAGCAAAGCAGGTTCGTTTGTATTTACTTCAAGTAAGTACTTATAGAGCTTTGAATTATAATTTACTAAACTTAGTCTTTAAAAAATATAATACATAATAAGTTTAGTAAATTATAAAGGTATAAATTTAATTTTTTTTAGCTTTTTATCTATTTACAATTTATTTATTTTAATTTTATTTATTTATTTTTTTTTTTATTTTAAAAATATAAATAAATTAAATTTCAAATATAAGATATCCTTACCAAAGTTCCCACCAGTTATAATCGGGTTGGTTCCAAATAACGGAAATGAAACATCTACACAAATATTAGAAATGTACAAAAAAGTGCTAGAAATAGCTCGACAACTTTCAATTCACATAGTTTCTATAGGAGCCGATGGTGCTATTTCGGAATTTAATGCTCAAAAACGTTTAATGTCTGAAAATACTGGACTAACAAAGAGCTTTAATGATCCAATATATAATATAAACTTTACTTGTTCAGTTTTTCCTGGAGTAGGACCAGTAATTTGAGTTTCTGATCCATTACAT